CGTCCGTTTACAAATTGGTCCAAGAAATCTTTGTCTTATCTGATATGCCTGAAGGTGCTAATGATACTTTTCTCTGTCTTATTCCAAAAAGTAGCCACCCAGAGACCATCCGTCAATTTAGGCCCATTAGTCTTTGCAATACCCCCTACAAGGTGTTGACCAAGATTCTAGTCAATAGAATTAGACCTCTCATGGATTCCATAATCTTTCCTACCCAAACCAGTTTTATTCCTAGTAGAAGAGGTTCTAATAATATCTTCAGTGTTCAAGAAGCTATTCATAGTCTCAGGAATAAGAAAGGTAAAAAAGGCTTTTGTGCTTTGAAAATTGACCTGGAAAAGGCATATGATAAGCTGGAATGGAGCTTTATCAGGGAAGCATTAAATTATTTTGATTTCCTTCCTCTCTTGTCTCATGTTATTATGAAGTGCATTTCCTCTTCTAGAATGGCTATCCTTATTAATGGTTCTCCTTCGGAGTGGATTATTCCTTCAAGGGGCATTAGGCAAGGAGACCCTATCTCCCCTTATATTTTTCTGCTATGTATGGAGTATTTGTCTCTCTGTATTGAAAAGGCTGTTCAACAAGGGAGTTGGGAAACTTTAAAAGTTTGTAGGGGGGGCCTAGCAATTTCTCATTGCATGTTTGCAGATGATATAATCTTGTTCTCTAGCTGTAGCAATGCTTCCATTTCTGAGGTAAAATCCATATTGGAAAATTTCTGTCTGAAATCTGGGCTCACCATAAGTCTTGAAAAATCCAGTCTCCTTCTCCAAAAATACTGATCCTTCTAGGCAGGACCGGATCTCTTCTTTTTTAGGCATCAGTACCACGAAGGATCTAGGAAAATACTTGGGGGTCCCTCTATCACATACCAGATCCTCCCCAAGGGATTTTGCCTTCCTAGTCGATAAAATCAGGCTGAGGCTTGCTGGATGGAAGGCAAAACTCCTTTCGTTTGCTAGAAGGAAAGCTGTCATCCAGCAAGTCTCCTCAGCAATTTCTTCCTTCTATGCACATTGTGCCCCCTTGCCTAAGTCTACCTGTGAGACCATTGATAGGATGCAAAGAAATTTCCTTTGGGGATCTACTACGAAAAAGAGAAAGCTTCATCTAGTTAAGTGGGATGTTGTATCTACCCCCCGTTCCTTAGGTGGATTGGGAATTCGTAAGACTATTGATGTGAATAAGGCTGCCATGGCTGGTGTCTGTTGGAGACTAAGGCATAAAAAAGATCAACCTTGGGCTCAAATTCTGAACCATAAGTATGTCAACCAAGATGGTTCTAATCAACAAAGAAAACTCATCTTGAATAATAGGCAGGTGTCTATTAATAAAAGGTGCCTAAAAATGGGGGTGGATTTCTATAATAGTGGAACAAATTGGACTATTGGGAATGGCAAGACTGTGAGAATCTGGGCTGATGATTGGACAGGGCTAGGGCCCCTTCGACACCTCATTGCTGGCCCACTTATTGAAGGGGAAGAAAATATGGTGGTTTCCCAAATGTTTGGAGAAAGAGAGTCTTGGAACCTTAACATTATCTCCATAATACTCCCTGATTTTGTTGTCAAAGTTATTAAGGCTATTCCTAGACAAATTATCTCTCCTGTAGAAGATTGCCTTAAGTGGCACCTTACACCAAATGGACAGTTTAGCCTTAAATCAGCAGTAGATTTTATCTGCTCAAATAACACCCTTGTTGAAAGAACTGAGAGGGATTGGATATGGAAGATCATGGCCAGTAATCGAGTAAGGCATTTTCTATGGATTGCATGCCAAGACAAGCTCCCAACCAAGAGCAATCTACTCAAAAAATTCATTATCCAAGAAGATTGTTGTCCTCTATGCAATAATAATAGAGAGACACCTATCATGTCCTGATTTTCTGTCATAGAGCCAAAGTTTTATGGAGAAAGATAGCTGTGCCTTGGAATTTTTGGCCTTTTGCAGGGCAAAATCTCTGCTCTTGGTTAAAGAAGATATGCAACATGGCAGATTTATCACCCCACTATGGCATACCATGGGGAACCATCGCAGCATTTGGCTGCTGGATGTTATGGAAGAATAGGAACATGGCTCTGTTTGAACCTCAATCCTGCCCACCAAATCTTCCTTCAACAACAATTGCAAAAGCAGCAGAATTCCTAAGCATCGGACCCATAAGTAGTAAAACCATCAGACATAAGGATCTTGTCATGATTGCTTGGGAACCACCCCCTCCATATACTTTCAAACTCAACACTGATGGTGCTTCAATTGGAAACCCAGGACCAGCAGGGGCTGGAGGAATCATACGCAATCACCTTGGGGAATGGATTAGTGGGTTTAGTAGAAATCTGGGGTGGACTTCAAATACAAGTGCGGAATTATGGGGGTTAAGAGATGGGCTTCTGCTGGCTAAATCTCTTAATATTCAACACCTTCATATTGAGATGGATGCTTCTGTGATTGTCCATTTGATCTCTACAGGAACTAATGATACTTACACCTACTCTTCTATGATTGATGATTGCAGGAATATCATGAGGAGCTTCATCACAACTACTATAAAGCATGTTTTCAGGGAAGCAAATTGCTGTGCAGATCTTTTGGCAAAATGGGGTGCAGAAACAGAGGAAGAAGGCCTCAAGGTGTTCAATGACCAGCCTGCAGCCATCGCAAAACTAGTAGAGAATGATTGTAGGGCATTTTGTTTGCCCCGTTTTGTAAATTCAAGATCTTAAACTCGATCTTTTGCTCTGGATCTTGTACTGACTGTTTCAATTTTAGTAACTTCTTTCTTAAAAAAAAAAAAAAAAAAACTATTTATGATATAGATGGAATAGACAATTTACCGTAACTAATAGATAAATATACTAAATAAATAAATATTATTAGGTTCAGAGGACTATTATTAAAACAATAGGGGTGAAATTTTGACCTTGTAGCTTAACGGGAACTGTCCCTTGACAGCCCAAGACCCGGCCCGGACAAACCTGTCAGCCGCCGAGATTCGACGAAGAGTGTCAATTAACAGCCCAACCGCATAGTCCGCCGCGTCATCAGCAAAAGCATCACCGGCATTGGTGACCCTTATCCCCCGGCGGCGACACTCGGCGAGGTCTATATGGTTAAGGCCGGTGGTCGAGCCCACAACACACTCCAGGGATGGATACTTATCCAAAGTTTCGGAGTTAACCGGTGAATTTGCCACACAAAGCAGGATCCGAACTGTCCCGGCTAGACTTGAAAACGATGAGTCGGAGCTAGTATTCGGATTCAGGAACTGAAACCGGTCTTCAAGCAGGGGAAATGTTATGTCTTTTGCCGAATTGTTGAGATATAGGACAATGGAGGCCATATGTTTAATCTATGTTTATGTTCTGCGTTTTCTGGTGTTTAGGAAATATGGAAACTATTTTTTTTTTGGTGTTTTTCGTTATCTTCTGTTGTCGAATGGAAGCTAATTAATGTTGTTTTGTTTTTTTTTTGGTCTTTTTCCTTATCTTCTGTGGTCCAAGGGATGCTCAATGCTGTTGATGTCGACTTTGCAGTGAATACTGTGGAGAGTGGACACAGACAACTCAGGATTGCAATTTCTGGTCCAGACTAGATTGGAGTTGTCGGTCATAATGTAATTATATTGACCCATTCAAACCCACTCATTAAAAACTTGTCAAATTCGCGCATTAATTTTGAATGGATCTAAATGGATATCTAATTAAATCTATTTAATTGGTGGATTTAATTAGTGGATAAAAGGTTGATTCGACTTACTCATTTATATTTATTTAAAAATAATTATATATTTATCAATCTAATAATAATAAAATATCGCTATTTCTTATTAAATAACAAGCGAAAAAATAAAAAAAAAGATAGAATTTTAAGTGATTCATTTATACTCATACTTAGAGGTGCTATCGAGCCGAGTCGAGCTCGAGTAGCACCATACTCGAACTTGAACTCGATCAAAATTTGTGCTACTCGAGCTTTGATCGAGTAAAAAATTTGAACTCGAACTCGACTCGATGAAATAAAACTAAACTCGTGCTCGGCTCGTTTGAGCTCGAGTAAGCTCGAGTAAATATCAAACCCGAGCTACTCGAGCTCGAGCTCGAGCTCGAATTTTGAAATAAATCTATAATTTTTTTTAAAATATATAATATAATATATAATATAAATAAAATATGAAAACTCGATTAAACTCGGCGAGCACTCGAGTACTTATTTTTTGAATTTGAATTCGAACTCGACTCGTTAAATTTAATGAATAGCTCGAGCTTGATTTTACCAAGCTCGAGTCAAGCTTTTGATCAAGCTGCTCGCAAGTCCTTGACTTGCTAGCACCCCTACTCATACTTATTTATTAAATGTGTATAATTGAGTCAACCCATTATTTAATTATGATCCGTTCAAACCCGTTCAAATCACTTATTTTGATACCTCTAGTTTAGAAAGCCTATTTTCGCTATAGCCCCTTATACAACTCAGTTGAATTTCGCCTCTCCTGTAGAATAGAATAGTATATGTATTGTCGATTGGTACCAAAAAAAGAAGAAGTAAGAAGTCATGATCAAACTGGAAGCTTTTAATTCTTTCCTTAGGACTTATAGGCGGGACAAAAGGAATGCAGCAAATGTATGTACTTGTGAATTTAGAAATATTTGAGATAGCCACATTTTCTAACTTCCTACATATTTTTTGGGGAAATAAGTTTATTAAATGCTACTTATGATCTTGTGAAGGACTTTTTTTTTTTTTTTCTGGTTTTTGCTTTCCTAAAGAAGTATTTCACTGCATGGCCAAGGGGCACTAGGTGATTAATTCAGGAATGTAGTGTTGTACGTGAGATGATGCTTTGGCTGTTGAAAGCCATGATTGCTATGTTTAGAGGAATTGAGAGACAAAAGATCTCCAAAAAATAGTCAACAAAGTTAGGCTGCAAATGGAATTAATTCAGATTCGAGGAACGCTTTTAAACTCCTAAATATGTGTAAAAACTTGCATATTATATGTCCAAGTGTTACTTTGATGTCATTGAATCGGTTTGAATTTTAGTTCATGCCGCTACAAATATTTAGTGTAATTACCCTCAGAAATGCAAAATAGAAATCTCCACACGATCACTAGTCACAGAGTATTATTAAGCTCTTTTCTGTCCCGAAAGAATCCTCAAATGGGTTTCAATATAATCGGAGCTCCATGCTGTGGCTGAAGAGTAAATCCGGCACAGGGAGCATGAGCGTACGAAGGTGAGAGCTTGAATGAAAAGTGCTGCAAAATCATAGCCAGAGCCAATTTTGCTTCTATGATTGCAAGGTTTTGGGCTATGCAAATCCTAGGTCCCCAGCCAAAGGGATAAAATGCCAATTGATCCCCTGATGCCTTGGAAACTCCTTCAGCAAACCTCTCTGGGTTGAATTCTTCTGCATCATCTCCCCAGTACTCAGGATCATGATGCAACAGCGTCGTTGGTACATAAACTTCAACCCCTGCAGGGATGCAAATGTCCCCTACCTTAGTTCTTTGGACGGTATATCTTGCCAGGTAAGTTGCCGGTGGATATAATCTTAGGACTTCAAACAACACCATTGTGACCTACAAGAACAATTTAATTCGACCGCATTATTCATAGAGGTAAATTAAGCAATTCTCCCACCATAGTAGTCACTGGTTAATAGATAGCAGCAAACAATACGAGACGATGGGGAAGATGAAAAGAATTGGACTGACTCAACAACATATTCACACTTACAATTTTGAGCCGGTTCAAGATTTCCATATCAGGGGCTGTCTTTCCACAAATTTGTAGGACCTCTTGTCTGGCTTTCTCTTGCCAGGCCGGATGCATAGACAGGAGGATAAGAGTCCAGGTAAGCCAGATAGCAGTGGTCTCTTGGCCGGCAAAGTAGAACATCTTACACTCCTCTATTACATCTTCAATTGTCAGTTCATTTCCCTTTTCTTCTTTGCATTGCAAAAGCAATCCAAGTAGATCAGCATTACCCGCTTTGCCATCCTGCATTGCCTATTGATTAAAATGGGTGACTTGGGAGTAGAGTGTCAAAATGGGTGACTTGGGTGGGTTTGAATTGATTAAAATGGGAGATAGGTATGAGTGAATCAATCCATTTACACCTATTTAATTAGATGGGTATAAATGGGTAAGTCAAAAAATGAATTGAGTAAAACAATTATCCATTTATAACCCATTTATTTTATCTTTTTGTAAACTCATTTAAATTCATTTTTGCAAACTAAGTTATCAATTTATACTACATTTTGCACCCATCATTAGTTTTAAATATTTACTTATAATGCTCAATAAGCCTAATTACCAAATTTTTTTCTATATGTACTCTATGTTGCATAATTATATACTATTTAATAATTGAACAATAAGAATTATAAAAATTTGAACTAAATACTATAAAATTTAACATAAAAACTTAATCCAAAAATTTTGAATTTCTGGTATTTTTTTCGTATGTAAATTTAAAATTTCATTTTAGAAGGTAAGAAAAGAGGCTACAACTTGTCGTAAATTGATAATGTTGAAAAATGAGCAAGTTAACAAACTAAGAAAAAATAAAATAATAAGATAAAACCAACAAATAATAATAATAATAATAATAATAAAATAAAAGTAGTTAATATCATGACAAAATGAAGAATCTGAAAAAAAAGAGTAGGGGAAGAGAGGAGGTTTAGAGGAAAACAATTTTAAATGGGTTAATTGGATTTGATGAGTTATCCAACAATACCCATTTAATTGGGTTTATTCACTTTATTGGATAACCTATTTATACTCATATGCAAAAACTTAAGATACCCATATCCATCTATTCATGGGCAAGTATGGGTAAATTTAATTAAATGGATTTATTTGCCACCTATACTTGAGAGGGACTTTGGTGTAAATTGAGCCCGTTGGGGGATCTGAACCCCCGACTTGCATTTTAATTCAAGATTTTTTGAAATTTAACCGGATGCATAGCATACTCATTTGGTCCGGAGGCAATTCAGTCCCCTTTGGATGCACCGTCCCATTTGCGTATGAGATTTTTTTTTTTTGATAGTTTATTTTGTTTTCCTCTCTCCTAAGACCATTGCACATACAAGGCAACAGTAAATTGTTAATCTTGAAGGAAGAGTAAATCCGTTGCTTGTATCAAAAAGCAGAAACTACCTGTAGCTTCTCGTGATGGAATGCAGGGGTAATTAATCTTCTATGCTTGGCCCATTTCTCCCCTTCCAAGGCTGCGAGTCCCAGCGCCAAAAGCTTCACAAGAGAGTTCTGTGGAGGTTTTTGGAAGTGACCACTCTTGTTATTCAGTATCAGCCTCACCAGCTCTGCCTTCCCCAGTATCAATCTTGGCCTTGTTCCAATCCAACTCAGACACACCTTTCCTATTTTCACAATTTAAACCCATGCCACCTTCAATGTTTACTCGTCAATGACGTTACAAAAGTCAAGGCAGCCATGATTTCTAATTTTGGTCGGCAGAAATATTTTTTGAGCTATTTGTCATAACATGCCGAATTCTACGACTATTTTTCACTTCACATGTAGTAATTTTTACTCATCCTCCATATAGTCAGTAAATACTTTGTTCTTGACAAGTATCATGCATGTATCAGATAAAACTAAAAACTTAACAGGATAAATCCCTTATTTTCATACGTTCTCTTAACATTTATGCGTCACTTGATCACCCATAATACGTTTAGAATACATTCTCGATTTGTTCTCTTTTAATTATAATTATATTGTATAAATCCTTATATATTGAAATGGGAAGACCCATGAAAGTATCTCCAAGAGGCTAGAGAAGAAGCTGAGTACTGGATGATTGAAAAAATCAGAAAAGAGTGCAGAATTTGATGAATGAAAGGAGCTAACCATATGTCTGCACAATTTGATGAATGAAAGGGTCGACACGAGGTATAATTTCGTGGTTTAAACTGACGGGGATGGACCATGCTTCTATCATCAGCTTCTCGATAGCTAGCTTATCTCCACAAAGAAAATTGTAAGAGGTTCCTCCAATTCCTTGTTGCTTCAATTCTCGCTCAATCAATTTGGGTCTCCACCAAAGAGAATAGACAAGTTTCAAGATACAGAGAGAAGCTAAAAGAGCAGAAAAGGAAGCTACGAGGACCATCAAAGTGGGCGCTTCCATGGTGCTAACTACTTTGTGGATGCTGAAGCTTTGGGCGTTCTTGAGGGAATTTATAGAGGTTAATTCTAATTTGTATCCTTCAATTATGCCTCAATTCCTATTTGGTCCCTAAATTATATATTGGGATACTTTAGTTCTTAAACTATTTAAACGAGGGATGGCCTTGCAGACGGGATCCTTTATCTATTATACCTATCCACTTTTTCTATTCAATGCAAAACTACGTAGTTCCACTTTTTAATACTGCTGATCTGGCACATAATATTGAATGCATATTTAGGGGATGTTTAGTAAATGGGTTTCAAATTCAATAATATCCCAATTGTGCCCATAGTCTTCTACTTTGGAATTTCACGTCGCATGATTCAGATGAAATTAGGTAAGAATTTGAGGACGAAATCCTTGAGTTTGTCAGAGTTGCAGTTACGTGCAGTCATGGAGTTAGGGGTAGGGCGAGGGGGATTTTTCTCCCCTTGCAGGATGGGAAGAATACCCCGGCCCCATGCCTCGCCCCGTCCCATGTATTAATAGAAAGTTTTGAAAAATAAATATCGATATAATTACATTTATACATATACACATTATAATTACATATCAATAATGTATGCATACATCATAATTTGTATGATAACATGAGTATTTGATTATTTTTAATTTACTTGAAACTTTTTACATATTGTAAGTTATTTACCAAAAAATAAAAATAAAAATAAAAATGATGGTTGTGAGTTTGGATTTGCTATATACATTATAGTTATAGTCAATAATATATGCATATCTATTATAATTTGGGAGCTAAAAAAATCATAATTTTTAGATAATATGATGATTTGGTTATTTTTAGTTTACTTCAATTTTTTTAACATATTGTAAGTTGTTTAAACAAATATGATGATTATAAGTTTAGATTTGCTATTAAAAGTACATAAATGAATTAATAAAGATCAAAAATGCTTTTTAACCTTGATTTCACAATGAATATTTAGCTAAGAAACTAAAAAAGTGATTTGTAATATTATTATTTAGGTTATATATATAATGAAATATAATTAAATAACCATAGGGGCACTCGCAGAGGTATGGCATGGGGCAGGAGACAAGGGATCTAGGGATTGCGCCCCATCCTCACCCTCTTGCCATCCCTAATTAAATCAGTACCATTTAAGTAAAATCGTTAACAAAAACTCCAAAACTAATGGGATACAAGTCATTTGAGTAGTATGATTATGTGTTGCAAGGGCATAGAAGGAAAATCAAACTAATAAAAATCTAAGAAAAGAAAGAATTTTGGGGATCCAAAATGGGAATTAGGGTGTAGTTTAGGTATTAAAGTGTATACATTTAGAATTTAGGGATTAAAGTGAGAATTAGGACATAGTTTCAGAGCTACAATACCCCAATTTAAAATTTAGGAACCAAAGAGTAAGAATTGGGGTAGAGTTGACGGCTACAAAATGGAATTAACTAAAATTCATAAGAGGTTGGTATATAAAAGGAAATTTTTCAAAATCCTCGTCTAAGGTTTTCAAAAAATTTTTCTCAACTCCCTTGAGAATTCTAGAATTATATCTACCCCCTTATTTCTAATACCAAATTGTAAAACAATTTCAGCTCAATTCCAAGAAAAGACTCTTTGAAATGCTAACTGGTATTCCGTTACCAAATTATCAAGTTAGCATGCAGTCTCCTAATTAGAAGAACAATCAAACATACTATAATAGATCAAATCCTAAGACATATTCTGCACACAATTTTCTCTCATTTTTCTCTTTGGGTTTTTATTCTTCTTTCTTTGGGTCGTTGGGAAAAATGCCAAGGGTGCTCGGGACTGCATGCTTAGATTGTTGTACTAATCGTTCATATGTTCGAGGAACCCAACCATGAGTTCAAGAACTTGAAGTTTACAATCTTGGAGTACAGTTGAATTTTAAACCTTTATTTCCTCAATGCACTACATTATATGATTATGATTAAGCAACATTTAAATTCGTTATTCTGATTGGCAATGAAGAAGGTTTCTATACAATCGTTCATCGTTGAACCTTGAAACACCCTACCGGCCCACGCTTATTCGTTTGTTCGCTGGTTACATCATCGCCATTTTTCTACATCATATGTAGTACAGTCTCTGAGGCATAAAATTAATATCCCACTGGTAAACAAGTAATGTTGTACTACACTTTATTGTTTTGATAAACGTTTGTATATTGGTGTGAGTGATTTCTTCAACCTACCATCCACTTCAGTACATGCATTTGACCATTACCCACCCTGCATTATTGGATCATTATTAAACTTCAAATAAGTTAAACGGCCAGTTGCCATCAAATTTAACTGCTTGTTCAGTAATTCAAATATATTGTCGACAAATGAATTTAGCGGACAGATACCATGGGAATATGGAACCTCGAAGAAGCTGGAGGGTTTGTATCTTGCCCGGAACAGTTTAATAGCTGGCTTCCATTTGGAGGGAAATTCACTTTCCTCCGCATCACATGTTCCTGGAAACTCATAGCTGGCTTCCATTTGATTCAGAACTGTCATTTTTGTCATGAGGAGAGGGAGGAGGAGGAGGAGGGATGCTGAGTTGCTCTGAACTGGAAAACTTTGTCAGACACTACTGCTTTATGCCTTGTTAAATAATTCGACATCATTGCTTTTGCACGATGCTTCGACATCATTGCCCTCGTGGTCTTTCCTCTCTAACTACTAAAACACAGAGGTATGTTTATACCAAAAATTTGGTCAGACACCGTATTGGAGTGGTTTGTTCCTAAAGTTTCCATCCGTTTTTATTACAAATACTAATATTGTGTTTGGATTGTATTTTTTATGATTTTTCATGAAAAAGTTGTGTTTGGATTGCATTTTCCGTCATTCTTCGTGGAAAAATTACTGTAGCGATTTGATATATGTGAGGGAAAAAGGTGATAGGGAAATGTGATCACAGAAAACGACAATATTTTCTGACGGAAACAAGCAATCCAAGCAGCGATTTGATATATGTGAGGGAAAAAGATAATAGAAAAATGTGATTACGGAAAACGACATAGTTTTTTTATGGAAAACAGTAATCCAAACAAGGCGGGGCAAACCAAAAAAAGGAAAAAAAGAAAAGGCAGTTAGTTCCATGGAAGAAGGAGGAGGTTATAGATGTCGGCAGGGGGAGCGGAAGACCCTGTTGTAGTTTTATTTCTTCGTCAATGAAATCAATAATGTCCAGTCCAACCGCGTTTTAACTTTATTCCTTTATCCGACCAAAGGACCCACAGTTGAAAGAAGGTCTGGAAGTGTGAACACCCAACCAACCAATTGCAGTCTTCTTAATAGCTTCCATGATTTTGTATTGTAGCAGGTAAGGCAGCTTCGTCTTTCAGACCAATTTATTGAAATGAATTCCTAACAAAATTTTAGGAATGGGTTCAAAAAAGTATAGGAAAAACACTTTAGTTAAAATGAATTGGAAACTAAATGTTTGTTTGGACAGCAGATTATTTGGTTAAATATATTTGTTTACATTCATCATTACAATTTCCAATACACATTTCTATCTTTCTAATTACCTTTTTATCTCACATACATCACATCACAAAAAATGCTACAGTAAAAATATTTCAAATAATTTACAATCCAAATTTAGTTAAAAAATAAGTTTCCATATGAAAATATGTGATTCTTAAGAAAAAGAAAACGGCTCATGGCTATCTACATGAAAATGATAGGTGCGAAGTGTAGCAAGTTGAAATAAATCAAAAAATGACAAAAAATTGAAATTAAACGAAGGTAAGAAACTCATTTCTTTTCAATAACAATACAAAAGGATGCCAAACATCTAGGATGTTGGAAATTTTATTTTTTATTATTTTTTTCAACATTAAGAATAGCACTGTTCTATACTAACAGGACCGAATTGAATTACATAAGCAGCATCATCTAAACTATATAGATGCCTTGACACATCATCTAGATTTTTTTAATTATAGGTTGTGGGATTTGAATTCCTAACCTATAATCCGAGATTCTTGTGTGTGGTTTCTAGATCTTTAATTTACTTTGCATGATCTTTTGACTTGTGAAGTTATGAGTAGGATTATTTGCTTAGTAAGTTTGTTTGGATAGAGGATTATTTGCTAAAATTTATTTGCTTACATCATTATTATAATTTTCAACACACCTTTTTATTTTCTCAATTACCTTTTTATCTCACATACATCACATTATAAAGAGTGCTACAGTAAAAATATCTCAAATAATTTACAATCCAAACAGAGCACTGAGTGTGTTTGGATAGGAGATTATTTGCCCAAATATTTTCAATACACCTTTTTATCTCACATATATCACATCACAAAAAGTGTTACAGTAAAAATATCTCAAATAATTTAGAATCCATAATTTTCTTAATTAAGAATGATTTTTTTTTTTCAAAAAAATGAAGAAAACGAAAATAATATAGCTGCATACTAGAGTAAAAGAGAAAAAGAGGGCTTACATGCTCGTGTAGTATTATTTTTCATCTCTATTAATAGGCTTGGACAAATATTGATTAACAAAGTAAAACATCTCTACTCCAATATTTGAATTAGTCTGTGTCTAGATAATATATTTGAACATAAAAAAATATGTTTACATAGTTTTTGTGTATGTTTTAATGAGGATACACAGATACAAATGTCATTATGTAATTAGGATTAAAGTTTACAAAAATTAGTCCTCTGAAATCATTTACAATAATTGAAAAAATAAAGTTAGTTTCCAAACTAATATACTTTTAGGTCGTATAAAATTTTATTAGGCATTAGAGGTGGCAAAATGGGCGGGATGGGCGGGATTTGCTTGGGTTTGAGATGGAACCGAGTCATATGGGTTTGGGCCCAACCTTACCCATATGTGTTTTGGGACTAACTTGGGCGGGATCATTTTGGGATGGGTTTAGATTGATCCCGCCCAATACCCAAATCCATTTTCTACATATTTTTTTTCCTTTAATTCATTTTTTATTTTTATATAATTTTAATATTTTTTATTTATTAAAT